TCTATTCATGATCTATATCATTTTTTATTTTATATTCCATTGACAATACCAATTTAATAATCATACTCACAATAATGATTATGATATGGTCATTAATGTTCCATATAAACAAAAAGAAGTGATTTCATTAAAACAATTCTATGGATCTTTGACAACAACAGCAACAATGGCGAGGACGACGACGACAACAACAACGACAACAACAAGGAAACAAAGAAGAAACGAGAGAATAATAAATAAAAGAAAAAAGAAAGAATATCCTTAATCTATCTCTCTACATATATAATTCTAATTTGTAGAATATTATAAAAGAATGAATTAATTTAGATTAATGGAATAATATACAAGTGTTTTTTGATGAATTAGCAATGATTATAAAAGAAGAAAAGAAGAAGAAGAAGAAGAAGAAGAAGAAGAAGAGGGATTTCATTCATCAAGATGGAAGACTTATAGAAATGCTTCGGTTGGAGAGGAGTTTACGGTATAGAATGATCATTGAAATAGAGTTATCATTCTCATATATGATGATATAGAAGTGAACATCAAGGGTCCTCTCAGTAATTAAATTCAGAATATTTATAACCCTATGTAGATTAATTCACTTGGTATTGTTTGGTTTAATCTTCCCATTGATGTTTAGCATTGAAGTTGATCAATCTCTTATTGGCCATATGTGCATACTGTGCGTATTGCATCGATATGGTCTTAATTCATATGCATTGTAAGCAAAGATGAATAGTGCCTAGTAATGGAATCCAGGACTCGTTAGCTGGATGTACCTACATCTCAGAGTTGATGTTCACTCTGAGATTCGAACCCACTACCTTTCGCTTCAATCACCATCGCGTTATCTACTCAGCTACTGAGTTCTTAAAGTCACTTGCTTGTGCAATGAGGTTACGTTTAAATTCACTTGGGTTCGAATACCATAGTGAACATCGACTCTGAGGTGAAGGTAGATCCAGCTGGCGATTCCCAAATAAGACGAAACGCGCGTCCTGGGTTCCACTGCTAGCCACTATTCATCTTTGCTTACTATGTAGATTAAGTTAATTATGAATTACTGTATTGGTATACAATGATTTATTGACATTTAATACATCTTAGCTTTCATTATTTCTTAACCAGACTCTGTTCACAGTATATAATACATTTAAAAACTAGTTTCGTTTTTGGTTAACATTTATATTAACTGTTATATTCTTAGGCCATGTTAATTATCACGTGACTAAAGTCGACAATTAGAACATTGACTTATACGACTTTGGCATTGTGCCAAACTAATGACGCGTTATTCAACACGAGCAGTCTGGAATTAACTTTGAGTTCTTATCAATCTTTCTTGCCTAGCTCTATCTGTTTAAGCCCAGAACACAATCTCAGAATCCATTGTATGTGTTATGTGTTTCAGTCACATTCGCTTTATACACAAGAATACCAGACCTCATCACAGCACAAAATATAAAGTAATAATTATACAAGATCATACAAGTTAAGTTCTTTCTTCGTATATATATGTTCGGAAGCTAACTATTGTGATCATGTCAAGGCTTACAACCTGTTCATCGGATCGTCAATAGGATCTTAATTAATATGAACTCTTAATGAAGACTTTCTTATTCAGACACAAGGTTTCATGAAGAAATAAATATTGAAAGCTAGGGTTTCTAGGAAATATGTTTTGATTTATTTTGGAAACTTTCATAAAGCGCGCACCCAAACACATACTCCATAGAGTTCAATATTTTTGAGGGTAGGGGTTATTTAATGAGAAAGATATCATTATGATGCACACATTCTCTGTATACAGTAATGCTCATTTAATGTCATCAGTATATTGCCTTCTCCTGATTTACCTGAAGGACTTTACCCGTAACATCTGGAACTAGAACTTAGAAGATCTAGTTTCAAGCTAGTCTTTTGTAATGATGAAATTAATATAAAGTAAAATATTTTAGAAGAGATATTATATATTTGAAGTTATTTTTGTACGTGAAATTAAATCTGGTTAGGAGAATGCTGATTGGCGGCCTATCCTCTATTGGGGGTTAACAGGCCTAATTACTAATCACAATTGATCGATCACTGGGTTGTGATCAATGTTATATGTGTCAAATCATTCTTAATGCAGATAGAATGACATTGATCACCACCAAGTGATCAATCAATTGTGATTACATCTCAGTCCTACAGGTAGTTGGTCGCCGCCCGGATAGCTCGGTGAAAATGTCTCTGATTGTGAAGCTGTGTGACACGGAATCGAATCTGTCAGGGAGCATCAGTTACATCAAGATTACAGGTACACCTTTCTAACAAGTGTCCAGTGGCACGAAACCCCTGTTGACCAATTCCAATCACCAACTTATCTCGACTGATTATTAACCTAAAACAGTGAGTACAATTTCAAAATTTGATATACTACTGAAATAAACAAAACTACTATCTGAGGAGCTGTTTTTGAAGACCTTGTAAAAGAAGTTATTTTTATTAGTTTATAATTTATATTGAAAAAAGTGATGAATAAAATTTTGTAATTGAATTCATGAGTCAAGTAAAGCTAGACCACCGTTGAAAACCTGGAAGCACTGGATGACCGTTTCGTCCTATTATGGGATTCCCCAGCAGTGCGCATACACGGTGCCGCCTCGCGAAATTCGAACCCAGGACGTATCAGTTTCGCACGCCAACGCTTAACCTCTAGACCACTGAGCCGGCCAGCACCCAACGGTGTTAATATCTAATTTCAACTAATCCACGAAATTGAGCAACCGTCGACCATTGTCTTTCGTGGTGGTCTAGTTTCAGTTGAGTCATGAATTCAACTATAAAACTACTAAAATCCCCATAAAACCCCTTCTGATAATAAATAAAATTAAGAATTGTCACAATAACTTCATAATTCAAGTTAGTGACATTTTAGTTAACCTTCTTAATGTTCAACGAATCAAGATAAAGGTTAAAATAGTTGTAATAATGAACAGCTACTAATATCTTACATCTTAATCTGATACTCTTCATCAGTTGTGTACGCCATTCACCATACATAGGATAAAGCTTTGGAAACTGATATCTGATGATCCGAGCAACAGTTACGGCGTTGGAAATCAATTATTGACCCATTTTTATCCAATCAAGTTAATTTCTTAAAAGTAATCCAAGTATTATCGACAAAATAATAGTAATCTTATTGAAACTGCGATCTAATCCTAATTAGAGAATGTTGAAAACCTGAAAGCATTGGATGGCTATGTCACTTTTAGTATAGGACTCCTCAGCAGCGGGCATCCACGACCCAACAACGGCGAATCGGTTCATAATTTCAATGATGTTCAAAAATCCTCACAAGACATACTGATAGTAGCAATTTTTTTAATTACCTGATGTTCGAAATTCACGCTTTGCAATATATAGAACAATATAAATTATACAGTATTATATTGTGGTGTCGATATAAGTAGTATATCCCATAAATTGAAAACGAAATGTCTGAAGGTTAAAGATTAAGAAGACTAAAGAAAACAGAACGAGACCGGAGAGTGATTGATGTGTGAAAGAAGGAACAATCAATCAACTTCGATACAATTGATTGACATAATTTACTGTATGTTACTTAGATTTTACTGAGACCTTGTGTAATCATGTATCCTTGATATCTAGATCATCTAAAAAATCTAATTTAGAAGAATTTTGTACAGTGAAAACTTTCCATTTCAAAATTCATCTCATCATCATTTATATTTTCTGTTGCCATGACAATTAAAAGTTATTTGAAATAAAAACTTGTTTATATTTATTATTGATCAGAAAGGGTTTTGTGGAGATTTTAATATTTTCATAGTTGAAATCATGAGTCAACTTAAATCTTCACAAAACCCCTTCTGATCTATAATCATGTGCCTACTAGTGACTGACTTCAAGGGATGTCTCCTTGAGTTCTAGTGGGAATTAGTGACCAGTGGAGTTCAACCAAGTCTGTTGTAGAAATATCAACTCACTGAGGACAATTGGTGAACGGTTGCTCAAACATCGTGGATTGATTGAAGTTAGACATTAACACCGTTGGATGCCGGCCAGCTCAGTGGTCTATCGGTTAAGTGCTCTGGCGCGAGACTGGTAGGTCCTCGTTTCGAATCTCACGAGTGCGGAATCGTGGATGCGCACTGCTGATGAGTCCCACAATAGAACGAGATGGCCGTCCAGTGCTTCCAGGTTTCCCATAGTGGTGGTCTAGCTTCAATTGACTCATGATTTCAACTATATTCATTATCATATTATTCAAATAAGCAAATAAAACAATATATTTATGTATATCACATGACTTTTAAGTTAGAATATTCAATTCATAATGATGAACCATAGAATAATGAATGTCTTTCTTTTCTATATGAACAATGTTCAATAGTAAATATACATTTAATAAGAAGCGGGTTTTATAAACTTCTTCCATAATATTATTATTACTATTATATTATTGTTAGTAACCATATTCAATAATAATAATAATAATAGTATCTTTGGAGAAAAAGAAAAGGGGGGGGTTCGGGGGAACTTAACATATAAATAGGATTTTGGCTTCTTTTGATTGGTCATGTTAACAGTACCGTTTGTTTATCATTACAATCATACGGTACCAAATGATTGGCATTATTATAAACAGTAATATATAATATAAGTAGTATAAACGGTAATAATAAAATAAATGAATAATTTTTCAAAAAACGTTTAATTGTAAAAAACAAATATGATTGATTTCAACAAGGAGATTTGTAGATCATCTTTTCTTTTACTGATGGAAATGTCAATGATGATGATGATGATGATGATGATGATGATGATGATGAAGAAGAAGAAGAAGAATTGAACTTCAACTTTATTGAATAGATAACATACAACAATAAATTGAAAAGGATTTCCATAAGATTGAAGGTTAAAATAGATCTATTTTTTAGTAACCAAGACTATCAATTGACCAATGATTAGTTTGTTTTTATTGAAATGAATTAACTCAATGTATGAATTGTATTATTCATAGTTGATTTAGATGTTGTCATTAATTCTGTTGTCATAGAATCATTATTCTCTTCCATATTATTATTATTATTACTGATTTGATCTAATAAACGTGAAAGCATAAATGTTGGTTTATTTAATTCGAATTGTTGTTGCTGTGGTTGCTGGTGTTGTCGTCGCTGTTGTTGTTGCTGATCACAGTTATAACCATAGTTACTATGATTTGTATCTATTACATTAGGAGGTTTTGTAATGGTAAAACATGAATTACCTTCTATATTTTGAATGGTATTCAATTCATCCGTATGTTCAATATTAAATTGATCAGTGAATATACTACTTAAATTATTTAATAAATGAATTGTTGTTTTTTGATCATTAGTTATTGATAATGAAGGTAATAAAGATTGATTAGTTAATGATCTATTTAATAAAGTATAATTGGATAATCCATGGGTTGTACCATAAAGTTGATATGTAATATCTAAATTTATAATTAAAAAGAAAATAGAAGAAAGAGATAGAAGCATTATTATAGTTGAAAGCGTGAGTCAATTGAAGCTAGACCACCATGGAAAACCTGGAAACACTGGACGGCCGTTTCGTCCTATTATGGGACTCCTCAGCAGTGCGCATCCACGAACTCACTCTCGCGAGTGAGATTCGAACCCAGGACCTACCAGTCTCGAGCCGAAGACCACTGAGCTGGCCGGCATCCAACGGTGTTAATGTCTAACTTCAACTGATCCACGAAGCATTATTGTTATCAATATCAAGATTTAACCTAGGAAGTTCAAATAAACTGATCATTGAGTCCTGGGTTGGAATCTCGCGAGGCGGAATCGTGAATGCACACTGTTGACGAGTCCCACAATAGAACAAAACGGTTATCCAGTGCTTCCAGGTTTCCCGTAGTGGTGGTCTAGCTTCAACTGACTCATGATTTCAACTATGAAAATATCTAATTAAAGTCAGTCTATGATTTAAAACTCTGAATTTTCACTGTCTATCTACTATTACTAACTCACAACAGACCTGTTTGAACTCCAATAGTTACTACTTCTCATTAGAACTCCAGGAAATATCTCTTGAAGCCAGTCACTATTAAGCATGTGATTATTATCAGAAATGGTTAAGTGCTCACGTGCGAGACTGATATGTGTTGGGTTCGAATCTCCTGAGGCGGGATCGTGGATGTGCGCTGCTGAGGAATCCTTCAATAGGACGAAAGGGCCGTGCAGTGCTTCCAGGTTTTCCATAGTGGTGGTCTAGCTTCAATTGACTCATGATTTCAACTATATAAAATAACTAAAATCTCCACAAAACCCCCTTCTAACACTGGGTAGATTGTATATTTATTCTTTGAACAAATGGTTTGTACTGCTGATGATTATCAAGCACAAAACAAAACCAAAAAAATATGATCCTTTTTCACAATCCAAATAAGTAGTACATCTGCAAGACTGTTCAGTGTATATATGCCTACATATACTAGAAATAATTAGGATCCTTTTCTTTGTCTGATTACTTCTATAAAGTCTGGTAATACTGACTATATTAGATAAGATCACTTAATGAATAATGAAAACTAGAGAGGTATATATCACTATGGAGCATCTATGGTTTATTTGATCGTTAATTTAACTGTAAAAGATTAAATATACAATGTACTAATGAGAGTAGTACAATTTTACACTTGTGAAATCTGATCTATTCAATTGGATGTTATGATGTAGTACATAGTTGTCATTGAAATTCACATATTACTTTATACAATTCAATGATTGAATATTTTATCAAACTTCAATCATAGTCTCATTATCATATTTATCATAATGTTAAATTGTTATCTAAACAAAATCTACTTTAAATTCATTTGGTATTGTTTGGTTGAATCTTTCCATTGACGTTTAGGACTGCAGTTGATCAGTCTCTTATTGTCTAAATTTGCATACTATGCGTATTGCATCGATATAGCCTTAATTCACAAGCATTATAAGCAAAGATGGATAGCGGATAGGAGTGGAATTCAGGGAGTGCATTTCATTCAATTTGGAAACTCGTCAGCCAGATGTACCTACATCTCAGATTTAATGCTCACTCCGGGACTCGAACCCAATACCGTTCAATTCAAACGCTATCGTATTATCCACTCAGCTACTGAGCCCTGATAGCCATCTGCTTTTGCAATGGGGTGAAGTTTAAACTCACTTGGTATTGTTTTCTTGTATCTCCCCATTACTGTTTAGGATCGTAATTGATCAGTCTTTTATCTGAATATGTAAATCATATGTGGAGTGCCCCAATATTGCCTTAAGTCACAAGAATTATAAGCAAAGATGGATGGTGGTTAGTAGTGTAATACAGGACGCACGTTTCGTCCTATAAAGATTGTGACTTAAGGCAATATCGAGGCAGTCCCCATAGGATGCACATATTCTGATAAGAGAATGGTCAACTGCAGTCCTAAATAACAATGGGAAGATCCCAGAAAACAGAACCAAGTGAATGTAAGCGGTCCGCTTGAATATCTGGGCTACCTGTTTCTGTTATCTGGATATTTCAACAAGTTATCTGTTTTGTTGTTTGTTTTAACACATCATTATATCTTTTAGTCGTATAACTCATTCAGGTGAGTTTGTGAAAAGTTTGCGACCTTTCGCTGTACAAGTTACAAAGGAGCACAATCAGAGACATCGTGGTAGCTGACAATATGTATCGAAAAGAATATACAGATGTCGACTACTGATCTGTTAATATATAACTGGCGACCACCAAATATTTATTGCAAGGGTCGATCAAGAAATAAGAAAAGGAAACTTGTTGAAATACTTTGTACTGAGAACTCTATATTGTACCAATAATTGAATCATTCAAATGGTTACTAGTGATCAGTTGTCAATAGTAAGTTCATTTACAAAATCAATATCGGTAATGATCAGTGATAAAACTATATCACAATAATGAATTAGTTAGAATCAAGACAGAAGCTTAGGGGTATGTGGAAAACAAAAAATATACAACCTTAATGTAAGTGAACAGTTAAAATGATCTGTAATGTTTTCAGTATTCAATAAGTGGATTATATCCAGCATTCATTGTTTTTGTTTAAATTCACTTAGTATTACTTGTTTGAATCTTCCGATTGATGTTTAGGACTGCAACTAGTCAGTCCAGGCTATATCGAGGCAATACGCACAGTATGCACATATGGCCAATAACGCGATGGCATGTGAAGCGAACGGTAATGGGTTAGAGTCCCCGAGTGAACATCAACTCTGAGATGCAGGTACATTCAGTTGACGAGTCCCAAATAGGACGAAACGCGAGTCCAGGATTCCACTGCTAGTCACTAATCATCTTTGTTGCTTTTTTTGTTGTTCATTCAGTGATCGAGTACAACTTCCATTTGTCATTTTAATTTAAACTATAAAGTTCACTAATATCTTTTTGATATTCATTCGGCATGTTAAGTTATGTAACGAGAATATCTGATAGCTCATTAAATAAACAAAATAAATAGTTGATTGTTAAGGATGTAAAACATTCATCGAATTTTGTAGTTAATCTCATTCCAGTTCGTGTACACTTTATGAAGAACTTCATGTAAGTTCTTGTAATTCAACGCTTCAATTATTTAAGATTGCAAGTAGACTTTTATCTAAAATTTGTGTTGACGATGTCGTTCAGAAGAATGATGAAAGCTCCACGACGAAACCATCCAGCTCAGAGAACGAAAATCCATTAAAATCATTTACCTGAGCTACAAATCTTCTACACCATCTCAAGAAAACAGTTGTTGTCATAACCTAGTTAAAATGACATAGTGCAGTAATGAGATAACACTCAATCCTCATTCTCTTTGTGGAATGTTAAATGAAATTTTCAATAAAGCGATACTAGTATTGATACAGTGAGAAGATAAAAACAGTTTCTATATGACATTGAATAGGAAGAATATGTATTTGTAAAATCGCAGTGAATGAATTTGAAGTAAATCTAACGTTTCACCTGGCAATCTGGACCAAGATTTCAAGGAAAAGGCTTGGATCATATTGCCAGGTGAAACGTTGGATTTACTTTAAATTCATTCGATGAGATTTTACAAATATATATTCTTCCTATTTAATATTTTACAATTGCATAGAACTAGAAAGGAAGGCCTAGGAAAGAGTGGGTTGGAGAATACTGGTCGGCGGCCAGTAAGTAAGTAAGTAATTAAGTAATTAATTAATTAAGTAAGTAAGTAAGTAAGCAAACAAGTAAGTAAGTAATCAGTGCTCCTTGGTTATCGACGGTGCCCCACCTGAGACCAACCATATATAACTGAAATAATTTAATTTAATGTCTGACATCAACTCGGTGCCCAAATACTATGAAACTATTTGCTCTAATTTATACGAAAGTTCTTATACAGTTTCTATAACTTCATGTCCTTGAAATGATCAGATTGTTTATGCAGATTAAACGATTCCTATATCCTTGGGTTATAAAATTCTTTTATTTCTACGATCATGTTATGAGTGCTTAATCTTTTCATTGCTACTTCTACTATCTTAACATTTGTCTAGAGAATTCCTTCAGACTATTGATATAGCATAGTACTTAAACGGATGAATGTAATATAAAGGTTCTACATTACCTTATGTGGGCAGCCTATGTTCCCCTTCGAGGGGTAACAGGCGTAAATAAGCAACATTACCTTACATCTTGACTTAGTATCGTTTGTTTGAATCTTCCCATTGATGTGTTAGGACTACAACTGGTCAGTCTCTAATTGGCATATGTGCATGCTGTGCGTATTGCCTTAATTCACAAGCATTGTAAGCAAAGATGGATAGTGACTAACAGTGGAATCCAGGACGCCAGTTTCGTCCTATTTGGGACGCGTTAGATGGATGTACCTGCATCTCAGACTTGTTGACGTTCACTCTGGGACTCGAACCCAGTTCCTTTCGCTTTAAACGCCATCGCGTTATCCACTTGGCCACTGAGTTCTGATAGCCACTTGCTTGTGCGACGAGTCGCGAATTGGACGAAACGCGCGTCCTGGATTCCACTACTAGCCACTATCCTTCTTTGCTTACAATTATCTTATAACTGACTAACTGATTATATAACATCATTTCATTAACTATTTAATAAATTTATATAGAAATATTGTAAAGGTTATAGAAGATTGTTTGTATTACTTATTTACGATTTATATAAGCCTGTTAGTAGTATAAACTGACCTACTGAATTTAAGACAGAACAGTAGAACATAGTTTCTGATATTAATCAACATACGTTCACTAGTGACTGACTTCAAGAGGTATTTCTTGAAGTTCTAGTGAGGAGCAGTCACCAGTGGAGATCAACTATGTCTCTTGTGAAATAGTAACTCACTGAAGACAATAGTGGATGTGTCGCTCAATTTTGTGGATTGGTTGAAGATAGACACTAACGTGGTTGAATGCCAACTCAGTAGTCTGGAGATTAAGA